TTTCTTTCTTTTTTTCTTTCTTTCTTTATAACAGAGACAGACACACACACAAACACACAGTATCTTCAGACTGATAGGATGAGGCATCCCTTATCTGCCACCACCCAGTAGGAGGTAAAAGACACAGGTCTGCTTTCTCCAATGAGTCCGAGGTTTAATGTTTTTATTGACTGATTGGCTTACTTATGCAGAAGATACTATTTTTCCATCACTTTCATGACTTATGTAGACAAGAGGATATCAGGTGCGGTTTCTCATACTCGCATACCATGTTCATCCTTGACTAGTAGGGACGATTTGAACCTATGATGTTATCCTGACTGGTCAGGCATCATTCATCTCCTGGGGAACCTTGGTGTCCAAATAGGCCTTTAAAAACCAGAATGATTTATAGTACTTTTATGTACTTTGCAAGGGCAAGAGAGGAGAGTTATCTGAGAGCTTTGACTGTGACATATTTGAACCCCAGGTGTGAAATCTTGCAGTAAGGCTCTCTTTTTTTGAAAATACCTAAAAGCTGATGCCACAGTTGTGTAAATGGGCTTGTCATCCATCAAAGAGAGCTCAGAAAGGGGAGGAGATAAATCCTGGCCTAAATTCCTTGCATTCTGGATAGAGGAGGGCAGAAAGTGATGCCATCTGTCCAGAAATATCACTTGTAAAGGGTAAAGGTTCCCCTTGACATTTAGTCCAGTCGTGTTGGAATCTAGGGCACAGCGCCCATCCCCATTTCCAAGCCATAGAACCAGCGTTTGTCCAAAGATAGTTTCTGTGGTCACGTGGCCAGTGTAACTAGACATGGAATGCTGTTACCTTCCCACCGTGGTGGTCCCTATTTATGTATTCACAGTTTTACATGCTTCTGAACTGCTAGGTTTGCACAGAAAGATCACAGAACCTGGCAAATGCAAAACCTGCTAAGTTTCCCTTGTTTGCATTCTAAGCAGCTTTAAATTTTGCTTTTTGTAAAAGAAAACACACACACACACACACAAAACCCAACAGGCGGGTTTGGGGAGTCTGTATTGTATTTTAGATATGTGTTTGTAGTTGAAATAAAATTTAAAAATTGTCAAAAAAAAAAAAATCTGGACCTGACACAAATTGGTTCAAAATTGGTTCAAATCTGGGATTTGCTCAAATACAGTGCACATACCTGGTTCCAAGCCACTTTCCAACTGGAAACCCTCTGTTTCTGTAATTAAAAGCAGGCACTTTATTCAGGGAAGACAGATCAGTTAATCAGAGAGTAAAACAATAGAATGCTTCAACCCACCTCAAAAATAAGGGGAGGGGGATTGAGGAGGGGCAGAAAAAGCTAGTCATGCAACAGGACTTATGCAAGAGGAGCCCCCACACCCTTTGCTCGGGTGCTTTCTACCCAAAAGTCTGCATTCCTGGTTGCAGGACTGATTTCAGAATTGATTGGTGGCTGGGTGCACCAGGGAAACCCTGCCAAAGGGTGGGAGAACTCTACTGCAATTTCTATTCATAGGCTAATAAGGTGTACATTGTCATGCGTACAGTACATCATCAGATAAAACTGATGTCCTAAGGCATCTCTCCCCAAGAAATTGCTCTTCAGGTGTGGTAGAAGTTTCCACCATTCTAATCCAGGTTGAGACCAGCTTGGTCGGAGAAAGCTGCCAAAATACATATTTAAACACAAGCTACTTTGATCCACTTTGATCCTTTTGTCGTAGGGGATTAACTAGCACTTTTTAACTTCCCTTTGGAGTTTAATGGGTGGGTATTGGGTTTCCACTCCTCCTTCTTAAGCCCGTTAGAGAGCCCAGGGACTTTCTTCAGTCATGGATATCCTAAGCTCACAAACTGATTAAGGCAGCAGGATCTGATCTCTTGCTCCAGAGAGAACAGGTGGGGCAAGCAGAGGGTTGTGGTGGTGCTGTCGTCTTGCTTGGGAACCCAAACGCCCTGTCCCCAAATGGAAATACTTTTCTTGTAGCCAAACTAGACTGATCAGGGATGGAGGAGATTTTTGTTTGGTTCACATTTCTTCACATAAGTGCCAAGTTTTATCATAGATTTGAGGAGAGTGGGGAGCCAACTGGCTACCTCCATCTACTATCCCCTCTGCACAGACACACACACACACACACACACACAAAGAAAGAAGAGGTGCATGTAGTTCCTCTTCAAGAAGGAGAAAAGAATCTTATGCTTTCAAAAAAGGGGGAAAGGAGTAATTATAATAATAATATTCTTAGAACTGCAGAGGTGGAAGGGACCCTGTGGATCATTGAGTCCAGCCTCCATCAAGGTGACACACTGGGGAATCCAACTCCCAACCCCTGGCTCCACAGCCAGATGCCTAAACCACTGAGCTACCCAGCAATAGGAGATGTTGCTATTCATTTTCCTAATGTTCTCCAGCACATTCACTTCTGGATTTCAGTACCCTCTACAAATTCCAGCGTGCTATGGAACAAAGCCCCAGTTAATTCACACTA